GGAGAAATTAAGCAGCAAACAGCTTGAACTGGGATTTACAGCAAGGGATAATTAGTCAAACATAACCAAATAACTGTGTGCAGGAAGAACATGGAGCTGCTCAGGGGGTTTGTTTGGGTGGGAGTGAGTCTGAGTGTTCAGGGGTTTCAATAAAGTCAGTGATAAAGTTGGAGAGGAGGGTGCTAAATTGGGATGTCCAGAATTCCCCAGCACCTTCCTGTGGCACTGCTGGCTCAGGTCTTGTTCTGAGGGAATTTGGGAGGGAATGAATCCTCCCCCAGCCAGGTGAGTGTGGAACAGCCAGCAAGGTGTGTCCTGGAAATGCAATCTGGAAACACTGGATGTGAAAGAGCAGGGATGTATTTCCTTTCTGACCTCAACACCTCCCTCAAACACTGTGGAGTCTTTCAGCAGTGTCACATCCCATTATGAGATTGTTCACTCTGGGACATATCCAGTGGCATTTCTGCTTGTATCTTGGATCCCCAGCACAAAGAGGATATTGAAGATTAATACACAGGCAAATATTTTCATTCTTGGCAGGTAAAAAATTACACAAGAACCTTGAAAAGCAAAACGAAACTGGAAGTTTTTCCCAGCTGACAGAGCAGAGTTTTCCTTCTTCATTCAATTAAAGCAGAGTTTTCCTTCTTCATTCAATTAAATCTAAGTGGGGAATGGTTTCATATCCATTGCTCTCAGCCCAGGTGACCAGAAAGCTGCCACAGATAAAAGCTTAAGGCTTTCACATTACGTGGCAGGTGTATCTGAGTTTCTTTTTACTTCACTATACTTTGTGCTGATTTAATCAGGTTGTCCTGCATCCCAGTTTTGACCCACTAAATACTACTTTGAGAGGAAATATGCATCCACCTCCAGATCATATGGGAGAGAAGAGCATTTTCAAATGATTTTTTTGTCAGGGGCCATAAAACCTTTTTTAATAGTTACCTATTAAAAAGATATTAAATAAATAGTAAATATTAAATAAATTAAATGAAAAGTAAGTATTTATAGGTGAATATTATGTGAATATTATGTCTCTTCCATCCTCTACAGAAACCAAGCCATCCTTCTTTGTGGAAGTTACGGCTGAAGGGTAAGAGAAGTCAAACTTCAGAGCTGGTGGCAACGTAGAAATGACTAGCCCAGCCAAAAACTAATTTATTGGGAGCCATGAGCAGAAGGAAAAAGTTTTGATTAATTTCTTTCTTTTTGGAAGAGACACACAACAAAGTGCAGAATATGAAAAACATCCTGATTCTGCCCAAGGGCAAACCTTTCCCTGGAGTGGAGCAGCACAGGAAGATGCCCAAGGGGAGAAGGAAATAAAAGAGCCAGCCACGAGAAGGCTCCTTTGTGCTGCACCTCGTTCATTCCAGAGCCAGTCAGCCCAGGAGGTTTTACTGCCTTATCTGCAGCAGCCTCTCAGCAGGCAGAACTCTGGCTAAATGTGTTTTTTGGCAGGAGAACACCAACCTTGCTCTTTGCAAAGCCAGACACCAAGCTTAGCAGGGCTCTTGAGGGTTTGGAGCAGCCAGGACGCTCACGCAGCGACACAATCCTTCCTTTTGGCCCGGTCACAAAGAGAAAACACATCTGAGAACCAAATTCCAGGGTGGCTGCACCTCCCACCAGCTCACAAGCACTTACAGCCATCCCAGATTTATGACTTTGGGGCTGGGAGAGTGTGGACAGTGAAGAGATGCTGCTGGAATGGTCCACAGGGAATTCCACTGCTCAAACACATCCCTGAAGGATCTTCATTGCTCGTCTCAGGACCACACTTCCAAGTTTTCTCTGGTTTTTCCTTTATAAAATCATCTCTCTGGAATGGTTTCCCTGGACAGGGCTCTGATCTCTCCATGGCAGAACAGCTCTGATGATTTTTTCATTCACTTTGGGGCAGTATCTGGATTTCCATGGATTTCCATCTACCATGGCATCCATGGCAGATGGCATTGTGCAATAAACTGAGCACCATGGAGATTTCTGCCATCCAAAACCTATTCAGGACATTTTGGCATCACATTTCCCAGTAAACTGGAAGGGAATTACAAGAATGAACACTGGCAACTCAGATCATACACCACAAACAGAAAATATCTCCACAAAAGGCACAGAATTGAATCAAACGCTCCAAGAGAAGTTTTTCTGAACTGAAGAACATCTTTTTCAGTGGTCCCTGCCTCAGACAGTGCACTGAGATTAAAATATGTTATTTACAAGATACTATCTAGCACTGTATTTACACAGAAAATTTCATTGCACCGCCCCAGCAATTTATTTCTCACACATAATTCCTGTATAAATGAATCTACATAAAAGTTATGGAAATTTTGATGAGAAAGTGAGAGCTCTGAGGTCTTTGGCTTTTCTTTCAAACCATATTGCTGTTTGAATGAATTTTTGTTCAGATAAATTCATGTAATAAAAAAAAAGAACAAATAAAAAAATAAAGTATTGCAGAAATCACATTGGAAGCAAAACCCGGGCAAAAAATCCCAAACTCATGAGACTATTTCTATTTTTATTTCTTTTTATTTTTTATTTTTATTTTATGTTTTTTTTTATCCCTTGGAGAATTGCTGTTAAAGTGTACATTTTGTGGATGTACACATGCTCAAGGGAGGGCAGAGACAGCACAGGAAACATGCACCTATGCTCTTTAAAACCTTTAAAAACTGCAAGCAGCAGCTGGGTAATGCCTAGAAAACCCTTTTACATTCTTAAATCCAAAGCAATGAAGAAATAGCCCATAAAGGTGGCCCAAGATGATAGCTTAGTAACTTCTTAGGGTTATTTTTGGGATGTAAAACTGAGACATTTTACAGAAAAAGCCCTGGAAGAGTGTGGGACACAGAACCAGCAGGAAAATTCCAGTGACCACCCCAGAGCAGATGAACCACCAAGACCCTTCCAAGCCTCTGCAAAATAAGAGTTCCCTGCTCAGTGCTGCGGTAATTAGCAACAAAATGCCAAATTATCTTCCAAACATAACCTGAAAAGCAGCAAAGGAAGGTCAGATAGGGAATGCTGGGTCTGAATACGGCTCTGGGAAGCCCAGCAGCATTTTTTCTATTTGAGAGAAAATCGACCTGCAGAAAAGTTGTCCCAGTTTCCCCTTCAGGAGCACAGGCATGGTTTTCACTCAAAGAGCTGAGGCTGATGTCTCAGGACATGGTGTTGTTGGGGAAAAACCAACAGAACCCTTTCCAGAGAGCTGTTTGACTCCCAAAATCAAACTCTTTTCCTTTTCCTCCTGCTCTGGGCAGCTCCTCCACCCCAAAGCACAGGAGCACAGAATTCCCTGTTTAACAACCTGTCTCCTTGTGAACCCATTCATGTGGGATCAGTGTGCAATTCCAGTGGTTCTGGGTCTCCTCTCACCAGCACCACACAGATATTTAACCTCCAGGCTAGCAAAAGGCCTGCTTTTATTTGTTTTTCCCCACAAAAGCTGTTTGGAGCAGGATTTAACACAACAAACACCCCAAGCTGCTGTGTATTAACCCCTGAACAATCCATCTGGTGAGTTCTGCCCCTCTTCTGAGGGGTGATGTGTGCCATGTGGAACACAAAGTGCTAGCCTTCATCTGCCTGCTTGAAAAGCTTTTGGGATGAGGATTAATTAGCACGTCGAGCACACATCTGGGAGCCAGCAAGTGAGCTGCAAAAATCACAAAGAAACTTCTCTGTGCCTGTCTCCTCTCAGCTTTTCAAAACAAAACCTCACACTGGTGAGATTTCACTGAGAGACTGACCAGGGCCTTCATCTCCACTGAGCAGTAATTTCTCAGGGGAATGTCCCTTTTTTAGTTATTCTCTACCAAAGGGAGCCGACCTCGTTTGGTGTTTGCTGCAATTTGCCCTCTCAAAGTGAAATTTCTGTGGATGATCCCTAAACCAGAGCAATTCAAACCCCAGGAACTGCTCAGCTCCTGCTGAAAGCTGGATGCAAAACTGATGGGAAGAGCTATTGGATTTGTTTATTCTCATCTGGAAACCAGTCACGAGCCCAGAGAACTTTTTCAGGCCCAAAATTTTGTCAGGATGGAGAAAATTCCTCCTGCTTTTAGATTCATGTCCCCATAAACGAAACAAAACCCACAGCAGGATCCTCTGTCCTTGACAAGGAGTGGGCTCAGAAGCAGCCCAGGCTCTAACAAATGTTGTTAGAAGTTAATTGCATCACTTAGAAAGGAAAGCCTCTTCCATTGTAGCTCAAAACAATATCTTTGAGTTATATATGGAATAGAAAGACTTTTTTTTTTTTTATATTTATATCCTCCCCCAAACCTGGTTCTTAATTCCAAGTTTGGTGAAAATAGCACCAAAAAAAAAAAAAAAGACACTGATGTGAGTCAGATTTTTGGTTTGGAGAAAAGTAAATTTTTCTGTTGATCTCTGACCTTTACCATCATTTTGATTCTGTGGAATTAGGGCAGAATTGTGTAGCTTGACACAAGGATGAGCCTGGATTCAGGAAACCTTGCCTCTCTTCCTTACATAATAATAATAATAATATTTTAGCCAGCTCAGAGTGTTGCACAAGGAAGGGGGAGAGGCTGCAGTTGTGTTTTCTGCACCAGAGTGTTTTCTCCTGTTTCCAAGTTCTACTGCAGGATATATTTAGCTATAACTGCACCAGAAACAAGAAATACTCCTACTTTTGGAATTTACTTAATTTCCCTCCCACACTGATGTGAGGAGGAATTACAGAGCTTTATCTGTGGCTGAGGGCACATCCAGAGGTGACACAGCTGATGGCAAGTGACAGTGCTGAGGACAAGAGCAGCGTGTAAACCAACTCATTTCTTTCCCTCTGCTTTGCCTCAGAAATATTTTATAGAGGAAAACAAACTTTCCATAGCAGGAACAACATTAACAAATAGAGTTTAAGGGCTTTGCTTCCTTTACCAAGGTCTCCCAAGCTACCTTCTCCTCAAATAAAAAGTGCACCACAGGTATTGATGTTTAATATTTATTTAGCACATGGATTTTGTTCTTTTCACCAGTCTGGAAAACTGGTGATTGTGGGATGGAAACTCTTCAGATAAGCTCTGAAAGCAGCAGAGAAGTCAAATCAGTGGCATCCACACAGCCCTGAGGAAGAAAAACATTTGAAATCACTCACAGCGCTTATTTACCCACAGAAATGATTCCCATTTAATGTCTGAGCAAGAATAACAACAAAGAAGAGAGAGAACTTCATTCCAAGTGAGTATGGGCATGGAAAACGATTGTGCTACCCGAGAACGGGGTGGTGGAACAGAAACCCCTGTGGGGCTGTTGATGTGCTGAAATGCACACAAGGCCCATTGTCCTTTCTCTCCAACTTCAGCTGAATTATTCCTCTGATATTTTGCTGAATTATTCCTCTTATTGCACTCCCCAAAAGCCTTTGAAAGCTGGGACACTGCTGGAATATGCCAGACAAGAATAGAATCGCAAGCAGCACTCAGCGAGGGTGGGCAGGAACAGAAAAGTCCCATTGTCTAATTATTAAATCTATTCAGCAGGCTGGGGAAGGTGTCAGAACACTCAGGAAAACTCATCCCAACAGCGGGGCTGCAGTTTGGGAGAGACAACAGAATGGGAATCGCAGCTGGGGGTGGGGGGAAAGCTCATTTTGGGTACCCAGTTCTGTCTCCCAGCTGGGCAGGAGCAGGAGCAGAGTGGCCAGGAAGGAGCAGGAGAGGCTGGGGAAAGGGAATATTCTGGAATTTAGATGGATCCCCACCTGTTTCAAGGAGAAAGCCAGCAGAGGCAGAGCTGTGTGTTGGTTTTCATGGAAGGAGGAAGAATTCCATGAAGTTTCTTCTGCCCTCCCTCTGGGGCTGAGTTTTTGCCAGCAAAGAGGTGAAGATGCTGGGTCCAGCAGAATCCAGGATCTCCTGGATTCATTCCCAAACCTTCCCAGGCCTGGTGCTGCACCGTGGGCTCTGCCCTTCTGGGATGGTGCTGACAGCCCATCTGCAGGGGCTGAGTGAATCCCAGCTCCCATCACAGACCTGATCCTCACTTCTACCCATGCTAATTGCAATTTAAAAGGCCTGAAAACAACATCTTCTAATTTTTATGACGACCATTTTGAGAATTCACTATTTTGAAATTCAAATAGTGATGCTCTTCTGCTGGATCACCCTGACACAACCTATTTTTATTTCTGTCTTTCCTTCTAAATTTAAATTTGAACAATAAAATAGAAATTACTGAATTTCTTTTAATTTTGCAAAGAGTTTCACGCTTTTAAGTGTACCTGTGATACTTTAAAAAATGATCTTAAAGCTAAATATAAGTCAGAGCCACTTTTATCTGTTAGGATCTCTTATGCAATGTGTTATAGAGTGGCTGAAAAGAATGCATTGGATTATTTTATTTTTCCCTTACACAATATCCAGATACAGAAATCCTGGTATTTCTCAGATGCAGAACCTGAATTCAGATTCACACACAAGAAATAAAAAGAGGCAGCCAGGAGAGAGCAGATAGTGACTCAAGAGAACATTCCTTGAATATTAACCATCATTTTGAATAACGTCTTTACAGCCTTCCAAAATTTTGTTTGCTGTTCCTCAGAGCAAATATTTACAGAAATAATAGAAGGATCTGCTGGGAACAGCACAAAATATTCCCAGTGTGGTGCTGCAGGATCAGTAGGAACTTCCTCAAAGCATTTTTGTGTGTACCTCCAGCTAAAGACAGAGTGTTTACACTGCAAACAGCCTCATGGAGGATTTCAGAGAAAAATCATCATCCCAAGGCCGTGCAGAAGGAATTCTCAGCAAGGAGGGAAATGTCTCTATTTGTGTGTGTTCAGGAGAGGAGCCTGTGCTGGACCAGCAGATAATCCAGGGATGTAAATTAGAGACACCTTGGAACACTCAAAAAAAGCAAAAAAAGCAGAATATCTCCATTCCTGACATCCATGGAAAGGAGCCCCATACAGAGCAGAAAAAATTCAGAGAGGATATTCTGCCACACAGCAGAGCAGGAATTCTGCAGCTCTGCTGCTGATGGGAAAACTTCCTGAGCAATTTTCTGGCTGAATTCTTGGACTTTGGGGCTCTTGCTGTGGCCAGTGGGGATAGGCTGTCTTAAAGCTTAAACTTAAGCAAAGTCCAAGATCTAAGCACAAAAAAGGCCTCTTAAGTTTGAGGGTACATTCCTCTGGTGATACTGCCCACTTAAATTCCACTTTTAAAGCCATTTCAAAGGCACTGCTGTTACCAAATTCAGTATTTTTAATTTCTTTTCTTTTTCTCTTTCCATTCCTACCTTCCCCACCAGCTATTCCAGTTAGAAAATTGATCCTCTGTCAGCTTTTTACGTGTGCCCTAAATAAGTTTGGTCCTCCTAGGATCTGTCTGGAAACTTTTTCTGCTTTTCTGGGAGGGTGGGAGCTGCTGGAGCTATCCAGCACAGGACAGAGCACAAGGGCCACTGCTGGAAGGATTTTAGTGCAAAGGCTGCAGACAGCAGGCAAAAATATTAGATATTTTAGAGTAAAGTTTATAACAAATCAATGAGTAATTATAATAAATTAATAAAATTAAGATAAAAAGATAAATGTATAATAAGTTAACAATAAATTTACAATAAATTAAGAATAATTTTTAAACCAAATGTCCTTTGTTATGATGAGCAACTCCTCTGCATCTCCCTCCAGGTGGCAAAGACTGTAGAGCCCACCGTGGTGATTTATTGGCCTGAATTTTTTCTCTTGAAGACAATGATTTCTGTGGGGTTGAAAGTTTCCAACTCCATTAGAAGTTGCAGCAGCTGCTGCCATTATTCTGATTAGTTACCTTGAATTTCTTGGCAGAAGACAATTGTCATTCCAGCTTTTTTGGATTTCTTTTCAGCCCCTCTGGTCCCACGTTGACCAAGCCTTGACAAACATCATCTTCTCTTTGATTCATGCTCTACATGGAGACATCATCATTGTTCCAGCTCCTTCCTTTCACTCAATTCCAACCCAAAGGAGACAATTTAGTTTTTATCTCACAGTTTAATTCCTGTCTTAGCACCCAAATGATACCAAACTGATGGAATTGTACAAACTGAAGCTGGCCCCTGAATTTCTGGTACCACAAAAACACCAAAACCAAACATCCTGGGCTCAAAACTCCACAGGTAATGAAAAATTTGAGAACAGACCCATTTCATTTTTTCAGTCACAGCTGTCTCACCCTGCCCTTCTCTTGCTGAGTTGCATAGAAAATGTTCCTGCATCTCTGTTTAAAGAAAACGTGATTTTTGTATTGGGGTTCCGAGGTACAAAATGCACAAACCTCCTGATTTTGGGTTTTTTTTGTCCTTCACTTTCCATCCCAATACAAAGTTGGTGCTGAGAAAACTCAGTAACTTTTTCTTCCCCTGCCTCACTTCCCCTTCAATAGCTGCAAACCTTATTAATGGCTAATAACTCACAGCAAGGAGCTGTGGCCACAGACAATTCAGCAGCTCAATTTTCCTTGGATTTTATGAATAAAATCATAATAATAATAAAAAAAGGACATTAGAAATCTCTTCCAGGTTGCAAAGTCAAGCACCAAACAAAGAGGAAGTTCTAGAATTAAACTTGCCTGCAAAACCTTAATTTGGCCCAAGTATTATGATATAGACTTTAATTACATGAACACAGCCTATTTTTTCCACATCTAAATGCATAGATGTGCAAATTCTCAAGCAGTTGACTTGATTACAAGTATGCATAATATAAAAGTTCAATAGTCTATTGATATTTAGTCAGATTGCTGAAATTCCACATATTCATGGCAGCAGCTGACTATATTGGGAGACTATGCCAAGAGCTGAACAAATGAAATCAGATTACTGCAAATGACAAGGAACAAATAGCCAGGAAAAAAAAAATAATAAATAAAATAGTAGGGCCACAGGAAAAAAAAAACAAACCAACAAAACAACAAACCCCAGCATGGTGAAGAGTAGACAACTGAATTAAGTTCAGCTGGAACAAAGCAGGAATTCTAAAGCAGCTCACAAATAATATTTCATCTTTCCTCTGGTCCCAGGAAAACAGAGTAATCAGCACAGAGCCTCTTGATATTGGGTAAGTCCAGAGACTAAACCATGAAAATGGGGTCAAAGTAGAGCTTTGAAATACACACAAAACATCCAAGCCGACATCTTGGCCTGTAGGTCTTCTTCTGGCTGCAGAAAAAAAATAGAAAAAGGTTAATTTGAAGGTTAGAACTAACCTTGTTCTGCTTTTTTTTTTCCCCCAGAGCCCAAAGCAGAGCTCATGGCCAACACGTCACCTCGAATATCCTTTAGTGTCTCAGCTGTGAGTTTCATATTAACCTTTTCTCTTAAATTTGCCAGTCAGGATGCCAGTGCTCTGGAGGTTTTGTGTGAAGAAGCTTGGCTTGATCTTCTCTTAATCCCTGACCGAGCTCAGAGCCTGGCAAAGGGTGGTGGCAGCGTTGTCACCCCTTTGCACCTCACGGGGAATAAACCAGGGCAGGGCTGGGCTGACACCTCTGCAAGCACAAGCCAAGGAGGGAAAGGCTTTATTAATGATGGATTGATTTCTCTGTTTGATATCTGAGGGAAATATTTGGAGATCCAGGCACATTTCCGTGCTTTCACCCTATGTGCTGCACATTATTATGCTCAGTAATTAATGCCTCGTCCTCCCTCAGTTTGCTGGAGAAAAGTTCAGGACCAGACCTCAACACCTGGCCTGGTGAATTCCATACATTGCATATATTCTATAAATATTCAGATAAGGTAGAAAATTCAATCTAATTTTCAGCAAAAACAGATTTTCCTTTAATACCATTAAATAATTCCATATTGGGATTTTTTTTAAATTTTTTTTTTGGTCCAACTGATTCTCTTCAGCCCTGGTCACATCCCTTTCAATAAAGGGGGATACTCAGAGCTAATTCCAACTTAAAAGCTGGTCTGAACAACAGGTTTACTCACAGGAAAATCTAGAGACCCTTTCAGTATTTTATTATTTTATTTTATTTTATTTTATTTTATTTTATTTTATTTTATTTTATTTTATTTTTTTATTTTATTTTATTTTATTTTATTTTATTTTATTTTATTTTATTTTATTTTATTTTATTTTATGCTGATATCTTTGGTGATGTGAGGTTATGGCAGAGCTTTTTCTTTCATTTCCACGCAGAACTTCCCACATCCCACCTCATTCACACCCTGATCCCCAGAGCAGAGCATCCCATTGGAGATGTGTCCCTGAAACTTTTCCTGGGGTTTTCCAGGGCATTTTGCATCCCAGGATTGCTGGAGCCAGCAGAACTTGACTCTCATGGCAGGGGTGAAAATATCAACTCCAGCCCAGCCTGTGTGGATGCATCCATGTTGGAGTGCCTGCCTGCCTCCTCTTGAGGTTAAACGTGGGGTATTCAGCTTTTATTTCAAATTACTGAGCCGAGCCCTCTGCTAATTTTTCTGTTCCATGAGAGAATCAAGGAGAATTTTGCGTTGTGGATGCTTCTCAGGGCTCACAGGCTGGAGTGTACAAATATAGTCCACAGGGAGGAAAAGCTGCAGGGAAAAGCTGTCAGAAGCAGCGTCAGTGCCCTGGTGCAGCAGAGCCAGGCACAGGGAATGCCCAGGGCATTGCTGGGCTCCATGTGCTGCAAGGGGGTTTCATCTGGGGCAATTAAAGCCAGGAAGAAAAGGGATGAAGGTCAGGAAACAGCCAGTGAATCTTGCTACCTAACCACGTTTTCTGGCACAGGATTTTTTCCCCGGCTGTGCTGGTGAAGCTCACGTTTCTCTGGTCGGGAATGGGGTGTTTTGGGAAGAGCAGCACAAATCCAGGCTCACCAAATGGATTCTTTCTTTGTAGGTGACAGGGCAAGAGCAGAAATCCCTGATTTAGCTGTGCTGGAGAAGAGGCAGGCTGGTGACACGGGCACAGGGCTGGATCTGCTCCACTGGCAGTGTGACAAGCACAGCTTTATAGCCCCTGGAAGGATCCTTGTTTATTCCTCTCCCAAGCAAACACGGTGGAGGCTCAGAGGCTGCAGGAGATGGGATGGCTGCAGGCTGGTGTAACAAAGCTGGGAGCTCATTCCTGACATGTTCCCCTCGTCTGACTCCCAGAGATATCCAGAACCCCAGGGACAGCTCTGGCTGGGGCTGGAGCAGTCCCACGTTCTCCTGGTGGCAGTCTCATTAGAGACCCCCAGGAGCAAGCTGGCCATGGAGCCGTGCCACAGCCCCTGGCACAGCTCTCTGCAGCCCTCCCTGCAAAGAGCCAGCAAAGACAGCACCAGGTGCTCCTGCTGCTTCCCTTCCAAAGCGAGGAGTGGAGCCAGAACCCTCCTGTAGCTCACCCTTGGGCTGCTGGTGCCTTTTGAGAGGGTCTCTGTGCCCAGCCCTGCCGGGATGCTGGGTCCACGGATTGCCAGGCAGGGAACAAAAGGTTCCCTATTCCATCAGGGAAAGCTCTGTCTCTGCAGAGGAAGAGATTGCAGCTCCTGTTCACTGGAGCAAGGTTTTCCAATCTCATTTCAAAGACCTGGAGTTAAAAGGAAGAAGAAGAAAAATATCTCAAGTATTCCCACGTGCTCTTTCTTGTCACCTATAACTCAAATCCTCAGTCCTGCCTGTGGGTCCCAGACCACACCACAGGTACCCAAAGGCTGGCACACAATCTTTTTCTCTACATTGCAGCAGGGATTTTATTACTCTTCTAAGACAAGGCTTCCCAGAGCTTCCCTAACTAGCTGAGAATGACATTTTTATGGGATTAACAGCTGCAATAAAACGTACCCCTGGCTCTAAAACTCAGTTAAGAGCACAGAATAAATGAGATGTGACAAAAGAAAGTATGAGATATTAAAAAGATGAAGAAAAGCTTCAACTTCAGCCTCCCATAGCTCCATTGAACACAGAAAGCCATGTGATGCTGAGCCTCCTGTCCCACTAAACAGCAGCAAACCTGTTTGTCAGTGTGGTTTTTAACACACCACCTCTGATTTCCAGCCCAAGCCCATCCTTTGAGGGCCTCAAAGCCAACACCAAGGGTTGCCTAGCGACAGCACTGAGCCTGGTGGGATCATCCTGCTACTGATTCCTGCATTGATATTTTGGTTCCCAAGGATGCTTTGGAATGATAAAGGATGCTAATAACCCTGTTTTCTTAATTAATGCTTTTGCTGGTGTGAATGTCACTGCTTTCCAAAAAAATCTAACCATTTGTCAGCTCTCTCAGGGAATTTGGGAGCAGCACGTGGCACTGGGTCCAGCAAAAGAACCACAGGTTTCAAACCATCAGCACCTGGAGAGCTCTAAATCCACACAAAAGTCACTATTTGCCATGAATTACTGCCCAGTGTGACTTCCCAGGCCACAGGAAAAAAAAACATTTCAGGTGGAGGAGATGACTCCAACACCACCTCAACTCCATGAAGGTCTCTTTAATTTGGTGAATTCCTGCTCTATCCTGCCCCAGCCCTAAGGCATTACCAGCTCAAAGATACAAATGAAAGGCCTTCAAAAATTGAGGACAGGACTTTATTCCCCTTTGTTTCTGCTGATCTGAACAGAGAAGTCATAGCTGTTGATACAATAAATATTTTTCTTCTATTAATACTAAAATGCCCAAATTTTTGGGGGCAAGAAAGTCTTGGGGCTCTTAAATCCCATGGCCAGCACAGTAAGAATCGATGAGACAGAGAATTAACAAAATCTTCAAATAAATCAACAAGGTGTGAAGAACATCCTAGAAATGGGTCTTCATTTGTGTTTGGGGAAAGTTTTAGGATATTCCTACTCCTTCATCTTCTGGTGGTTTCAGGAGTTGGAGGATTCTTCTTCTTCCAGAGGGCTGAAATCTGCTGACACCAAACTGCTGCTAAAGGACACAAAATGATTCACACAAACTCTGCTCAGTGTTAGAACAGGAAACAACTGACCTTTATTCTCTGACTCCAGTATTTATAGATTCTCAACAATCACCAGGGGTTGGATAATTAATTACCACCTTCCCAAGCACACTGGTCATGTGAAACATCCATCAAAAGACATTTCCTAGAAGGAATGTGATAACCCACCTTTATAGAACTTTCATGGGAAAGTAACTAAAACCATGAAAACACTATCAGAAGGTTTAATTTTCAGGGTGACACCGAACAGGATTTTGAAGCCCCTGATTGTTGATGCCTCCAGGGCTGAGCAGGCACTGGGATTCAAGGACAGGGAGGGGCTGGGAGCAGGACGTGGGATCTGAGGAGCAGCAGGGACAGGATGGCTCCCTCCAGCACTGTGGGTCAGAGCCCAGTCCCCTTCACATTATTTGTGCTCCTGGGGGAACACCACGCTCCTGAGCCCAGAACAAAGCCCAGACTAAAGGCTAAACCTTGCCCAGATGCTCCTGTGCAAGCTGGTGTCAGACTGTAGGATTTCAAGGGTATTCCACCCCGAAACCCCCCAGAGATCCAGCCCAGACTGGCTTCGCAGCAGCAGTGATGGAAGCAGCCCAGGTTTGACAGGAAGCGAGATTCCACTAATTCCACACGGGAAGGGATCAGTTCCCACTGAAAACGACTGTCTGTCCATGCCCTTAAACCTGAATTTCAGCCCTCAAGGTCTGCAGAGCTCTCCACACACAGATTTCTGCCACCTCTCCTCAAATTAAACTTTTCCTCTCTGCCTCTGCCGTGGCTGCCAGGAAACAGCAATGGGACCTCAACTGGCTTTGGGGAAGGCTTCAACCTCCATCCCACAGCAATCAGCTGGCACCATTCCCTGTATTTTCATGGCAGAGGCAGCTCTCTTTAACAAGTGAATCCCAAACAGAACGAGCGGTTCGACAATTATCATTTTGAACAAATATTTCCAGCTCCGCGCAAAACACCGTGGCACAAAAAAAAGCAAACTTTCAATAAACAGAAAATAGATGATTGTTCTCAAATGACAGCTTTCATGCTGTTTATCCCAAAGGATCCTCAGAGCTTATGGAGTATGAAATAAATTTGCCACTGGTTAAAAATGTAAATTCTTTAAATACATAAAACCCTAATGAAATGGCTTGTAACATTTCCCTTTTCCTGATTCCCACTTTTCTCTTTTTATCTTCCTAGAAGAAGACGTTGATTATAATTACAGTGGAGACTAAAATGTAGGCTTGATTTTGTGTTTAAAAAAAAAATTTGGGAAGTAAAAGGAGCTCTTGGTGTGATTGGGTGTGTGCATGTGCTTCCACACATGCATGTGAGGCTGAATTGTGTCATGGCATCAAAAAATACATAAAAGAACTGAAAAATCTCATATTTAAATGCACATCATTTGTGGAGAGCACACAGAGCAGGGGTCTCTGCCGATGGAGGTGAGAGAGAAAAGCTGCTCTGAGCTTCCAGCCCCTCTTCAGTGCTGGGAAAATGCACAGGGATGCAAAAGCAGGGGCTGACGCTGCTGTCCTTGGGCAGAGCGAGGATGGAGGGATCAGATCCCTTCATCAGGGAAGAGCTCCAGTTTTGATCTGGAGTTTGCAACCCAGATCCTCCTCTGCTTCTTTATTTTTTAGTGAAAAGAGCACAGACACAAGAACCCCCCACAACAGTGGGTTGTTTTCTTTTTAGTGAAATGTCTTGCAAACACTTTATTTTTTTCTTTAAAAACAATACTATTTTTACAACCAACCAAACAAACAAACAAAGGGGGAAGAAAATGTACCATCATCTTCCTTTAGTTATGACAGAGGTACAAAAAGGAGCTCTAACATTCATGTGGGCTTTCATTCAGATTCAAATTGTGCTTTATATAAAATTCAGGCATTCCTCATGATTTACAAGTTCTTCATGAGGGAACTTTGATTTACTTGCTTGTCTAAATTTGCTCTGAGCACGAAGCTCATGCTGACTCTGGGACTAATCCAGGCAACCAAAGTAAAGCCTCAGTCAGGTCTCACCCCAGGGTGGTGGCAGGGGAAACCAAACTTGCTTGAAAATGCAAACCCACAGTCACGTTTCTGTGCTGGACAGGGCATTTTTCATGGCACTGGTCAATGGTATGAAATCCATTCAGTTTTCCATTGCTTTAATGGCAAAGGAGTTGGGAAAAGTTTAAAATAGTCTGAAGCAAATTAAAATATTCATTGCCCACTTCACATTTTTGTGTGTCCCTTTTTTATTAGGACTGGAGGTGCTGAATTTTTTTTTTTTTTTTTTCTCTAAGTGATTTATTTATATGAAGAATAAGAAGGAGAGGTTCTTCAGAGGAACAGATATTCCCAATCTCCTACAATGCTATTCCATGGACTGAAAGCAGTGGGAAATTGTCATAGAAAATCCATGACAAAGATTACAGCGGTTCTAGGACTGTGATTTCCAAAGGGATTGTTCCAGCTTTGAGACCACAAAAGGATTCCAGAGCTTCCCCTGACTGGAAGTTTTCAACACCTTCCTTCCATGTCAGTTTTCTTCTGTCAAAACATGGCAGTGCAGCTTTTCCCTCTGTGAGAAAAGAGATTTAATTCCTGTAAATGCAGCACCTTTCACAGGTTGGTTCTTCTCTTCTTGGCCACATATTTCCAGGAACCTTTTAGTAATTCAGTGTCTCAAGCCCTCTGTTCCCTTCTCTTGTCCACTTGAACTTTACCGAGTGCAAAGATGCCCGAGGAACCTCCCAGGATGCATTTCCTCTGGAACCCCAGATGAAGATAAATCAGTTCTCAGATATTTTCAGATGAACCCCTGGCTGGAGAATTTGGGAGGATGCGATTTTCCAGCCTTGTCTCTGAGCTCTGCTGGGAGCAGTGGATGTGGAGTTTCTCAGGCTCCTTCTCTTCCCACATTCATTGTTCCTGTGCCAAAATAAAAGAACCAGAGATCTATTTTTAGAGTAGGTTGTTCCAGCTAAATCCATCCATCATCCTCTGAAGTTCTTGCACGTGGGTGAACCTTCCCTTTTCATTCCAAACCGAGCTAAATTGTACAAATGCAAGTCTCAGCTCGGGCAGGGACCAGCAGATCTGTCTGTTCACAGAGGGATTGGGACAGGCTGGATCCACGGGCTGAGCACCTTGGTGAGGGTCCTGCCCTTGCTCTGCTGCAGGCTGGGGATGAGGAGCTGGGAAAGGGCTGGGAACAGCGGCTGGACACCAGCCCAGGGCTGCCCAGGTGGGCAAGAGGCCGCTGGCCCCTGGGTGGGAATAGAGAGGCCACAGGAGCAGGGCAGGGATTGTCCCCTGTGCTGGCAGCGCTGAGCCACCACCCCAAACCCTGGGGCACCTCTGGGCCCTCACAAGAAGGAGCTGGAGGGGCTGGAGCGTGTCCAGGGCAGGGAACGGAGCTGGGAAGGGGCTGGAGCAGCTGAGGGAGCTGGGAAAGGGCTCAGCCTGGAGCAAAGGAGGCTCAGGGGGAATTTCTGGCTCTGCACAGCTCCTGCCAGGAGGGGACAGCCGGGGAGTCGGGCTCTGCTCCCAGGGAACAGGGACAGGAGGAGAAAAAATTGCCTCAGGTTGCTCCAGGGCAGATTTAGATTGGAGATTTGGAAAAATTTCTGGCTCTGCCCAGCTCCCTGAAGAGGGGATGTAGTAAAGTGGAAGATGATCTCTCTCAGGGAACAAGGGGCAGGACAAGAAATGGCCTCAGGTTGCATCAGGGGAGGTTGAGGTTGGATATGGGGAAAATCTTTTCTCTGAAAGGCTGGTCAGACACTGGAAGGGGCTGGTGGAATCCCCAGCACTGGGAATTTTCAAAAGACACTTGGCTGTGGCACTTGTGGCCACAGTTTAGCGTGGATTTAGCTGGATTAAAGATTGGATTCAGCCCTCAAGGTCCTTCCCACCCCTACCCATTCCATGACTCCATTCCCCAGCACACCCTGGAGCTGCACACAGGATCCTTCACAGGGCCCAAATTACCCCATTTGCCCTTCCAGTTTCTATTGTGGATGCACAGAAAAGAGGCAGAGGGAACTTTGCACCCTGCTGCTGCTGCTTGGAAGTCTCTGCACGATGGATCTGTCCAAGTTATTTCTGTTAAAAGCAGCTATAAATAACCTGCATAATGCCTCAAGAGTGTTACGGAATTATTGGGAGTTTTGCCTGATTAGGAGAAAGGAGAAGCAAAAAAAAATCTCTGAGGAAGGAGCTCAGGATTTTACACAGCAATAAAGAACAGAAAGTGAAGGGCCATATATTGATTTGTGGGCTTAAAAATTAAGATTACACTCAGGTGTTTTGCTCAGCTGGAGATAACTTTGTGAAATAATGTTGGTCCTTAGTTACCCAATACAAAAATGGCCACAAGATGTCTTATCTCACAGCAGGTGTGAGTTTCATCTTTTCTATCAAATAATTTATTCAGTGTTCTCACCAAAACCTTGCTTATTCCGTGTGTTTGGGCTTCATTTTTCATGGCCAGGGTCCAGAAGCAATTCCTCAGGAGCTGTCTAGAGAAAAAAGAAAAGGCATTTTTAAGGTAGAGAATAAACTGCCAAAGATTGGCCTTGGACTCTTCCAGGATCCAGGGGCAGCCACAGCTTCTCTGGGGCCCCTTGTGCCTCCCCACCCTCACAGGGAAGAGGTTTGTCCTAATATTTAATCTGAAACCACTCTCTGTCAGCTTGAAGCCATCCCCTTATCCTGTCACTCCAGGCCCTTGCAAATGTTATCAAAAAGCACTGAGGAAGGCTGGGTGTTTTTCCTGGAGCCATCATTTTGCTCAAGTTGGTGGTCTCCATCCTTCCCAGTGTTTATTTGTATGGATTCATTGAAAGATGTGTTTGTCCATCTTTCAGGTGAGATTTCTTTGGGAATCCAAGTTGCAGGTGAGAGCAGAACGCTCACCTGGCTCTTGGGCTGCCACATTCACTGGTGGTTTATTTGGTGAGCAGAAATTCTCATGTCTTGAAAACCTCTTGGCGTTTCTTTTTCCCCAGCACAGAGTTAAAGCTCCTCACATTCCTCCTTTTTTCACCTGAGTGGTGTTGCAGGGTGATTTCAGTCTGTGATAACAGGATTAGATGAATCTCACTCCTTCTCACAAAACCCCAGTCTTTAATTCTCTTTTGCTGCAAAGTCAGTGGAAAGGGAGAAGCTTTTATGGCCTGGGTAGTGAGCTGCTGCTCTGCTTGGAATCTAAATTATCCTGGATTCTACTGGAAGGTGGCTACCTACTGGAATAGTTTCCAAAGAGACTCTTCAATTCCTGTGCCAGAAAGCCAGGAATTTTCCTCCTGCTAAAACCCAGGTTTCCATTAACTGCTGCAAATGGGGATTCTGGGGAAGAGCTGAGCTGAGGTGCCCTGCAAAGGCAGATTCCAGCTCAGTCACTGCTGCCACGTTATCATGGACAATGTGGTGGTTTGAATATGGCCAAGAATGTTACAATTTATACTTAATCTATTTATATTACAATTGATATTACAATTTTTATTACAATTTATACTTAATCTAGGCCAACCAAGAGCATCACTGACTCAAAAGGTTATGATCTCTAGGTTGACTCAGTTTTCTGAGGTGGCCATTGTTTAACCATGGCCCAGTGAACATTTCTCTGTATAAAATAGAACAGTTTAATCCCCACAAGTAAGAATTATTCTTTTTTTTTTGTCTGACTCGAGTTTGGGAGCTGAGGGACAAGTGAGCACCGAGTTCACCTCCCCAGCTTTCATAATTGCCTAAGAAATGCCTGCAGAGAACAAACTCCACAACCAGACCTGGAATATTGACAACTGCATAAAAAACCTGATTTCCAGAGAAGAGGGGTTTGGTTTCCTGGCTCTGAAAAAGCCTCCAGGAGGGCTGTCCAAGGACACAGCCACACAGTCCCAGTGCTCCCAGTCCCTCGGGAGCTCAGCATCTGTTACCAAGCAACTGGGGATGCAATTTGGGAGCAGGCAGCACCCTCAGCACTCCCTCCTTGCAAACCTGTCCCAGCCCCAGCCACTCGGTGCAAATAATCCTCTGCACAAAGGCACGAGGCTGATGTAAGGAGATTATACATTTCCAGAAATAAAACTGCTTCAGCACTTCTCTAATCTATAGTTAGGGGGTGCTCAGGGTATCATTTTCCTCACAACCACTGGATACTCAATGCAACAACTGATCTCAGGCCGGAGCTGTTTCTGGGTCAGAGACACAGTTTGGGGAAAAGCTTTCAGTGGATTCTTCTCTTGGCCAGCAGTTCTTGCTTCCACAGCTCAGACTTGGCTGTGGGAGGGCTTTGTCCCACCTGAGAAACTCCCAGTGGTCCCAAAAGTTATTCCCAAACACACATTATGTGGATCTCCATGTTAGATATCCATGGATTTAATTTAAGGATTGGCACACTCTGCATCGGTCTTTGAAGATATTATTCAATTTACTGCAGGAATTACCTGGCTTGTGGTGGGCACAGGTTTTCTATGGGGAGCTACTGGAATATTTACTATCAGAAGGGAAGAAGCTCCTCAAGTATTGCCAGTGGAAGTTGGAGATAACAGCTGGAAATTAAGCACCAACACAAATAAAATTATATTAAAGATCTGATGGCACTCTGGTCAATACACTGGCTCAGACAAGTGAAAAACCAAAATACCTTGGGTCATTAGACAAGTGACCTTTCACTATTCAAACCCTTTTACCTGAGCAAAAATTACATATTGTCTGAAAAGAGACTGGCTAAGCATCTTTTGCTGTCTATTTACTATTAATTTACTATTTTTCACTATTTGTTGCCAACTTTCAATGGTTGGGTGCGCTCAGACATGCAGACATTTAACCAGGACAGCACTCAGGCAGTGAGAAGAGCCTAAAGAAACAATTACCAGCAGGAAAAATTCAAATTACAGGGTGGTAGGGGCTTCAGACAGCAAGCAGAAATCAACTGAGCATCTCCATTTTACCACCACGCACAAAGTTTTGGAGGGTTTACACTTTAGAAGTGTTAGAAAAGGACAAGAGGTGCCTACAATCTGCTTCCTCCTCTCAGGAGAAGCTGCTGTAATTTGAAATGTTCAACAGGATTCCAACAGCACCAAGTGCTGTCCCAAAAACAATATTTGTGCTCTGCAAGAGCTCGGCGTGCTGCCTGTTATTGCCAGCCTCTCACTGATAAGAGCTGCAGGAAATCTTTATCTAAACCCACAGATAACTGGACACTTGTAATGCAGAAATGAAAAAAAACAAACAGGCAGTCAAGGCTGAATCTTGCCTGGCTCTGAGTTGAGACTGAAAACCCCTCACGTTTACTGAGCTGTGTCTCCCATCAGTGAGGCACAATTAGATGTGAGCAAACCACAAAAGAAAGAAAAAAAAAACCCAAACTTTCCACCTGTGCCTCAGCTGTGAGTGCAATTCAGAAAGGTTTTTAAAGGATGATACGTTTTTCCATAGGTGTACACGTCAAGGACCTAAAAATAGGATATCTCTGTTCCTAGTGCTGATCATTTTCTGCTTTTACCAGGAAATGGGGCATCCAAACACAACAGGGCTGTCCTGGGGTGGGTTGGAACTAACCCAGAAGTGTTCCAGGATTTTTCTTGCCGTGAGGGTGGCGTAACACCAGATTGCCCACAGGCTGCAGTGCCTGTGATTGCTGGGAACATCCCAGGACGAGCTCTGAGCAGCCTGCTCTGCTGGAAGGGTCCCTGCCCATGGCAGGAATGACCTTTAGAGCCCCTTCCCACCCAAACCAGAATTCCCTGTGCACAACAGGCTCTGGGGCTGTGGATCTGCTCAGACTCCTGGCATCATAATGCAAATTTAATGATGAAAAATCAGCCTGCATGAGCTTAAATGGGAACAAGAAATCAAAAGACTTTTGACCACATCAGGTTGAGGGCAAAATTTTCAGCTCCACTTGCATCCAGGAGAGCTCTTACAAACCCTCCACAATCCACTGCAGATACAAAATTAAACTGAGCCCAGAAGCACCATCTCCCCACTTGAAGAGCTCTGCTGAATTAAGCAGGAATATTCCCCCGAAATCTCTTAAGCAGATTTTCCTGAAGTCACCAGAAACTTTGCACAGAAAGCCTTTTCCAGGCTACTCACCCTGCAAATTTCCTTTTGGACGTGTTGATCTGGATTTCTGAGGGTTCTGAATCTCCCCAGGTGCAGCAGGACAGGTGCTGCCTGCAGAGCCACCAGATTCATCCCTCGGAGCACCAAGGAGCCTCCCCTGGCTGAGAACCTTGCTCCAATCCTGGTTTTGTCCAGAATCCCAGCTCAGGGCTGTTTATATGAACTGCAAACCTGTTTAGGTGGAGCTGGGGGGATTTAAGGTTGTGTGTGACATTCACAGACCAGACTTGAGGGGGCCAAGCTTTGGACAAAGCTTCTCATGTTCCTTCTGCACCCACAGCAGGTCCCATAAAAAACCACCCCCCTACACCCTGTGAGGTTTTGGCATGGCCAGAATGCCAGAATAATGCAAGGGGTTGCTCCCATTCCTAAAAGGACTTCCAGAAAGGGTTTCATTGCTGCTTCAGGCACGTAAATGATGTTGAGGGCCACTGGAGTGGTTTGTAAAACTTGCAGTAAAATGCACCAACAATCAGCCAGTGTAATCAAGCTCCTAATCAACCAAAATAGCTTGGAATGCACCACAACTACCTGTTACAAATCAATTTTTGTTTTATTTTTATTGCTGTTTAACTCAAACCTTGGGGAGGTGCAGTAAAAGAAAGACAGAAGCAGACAGGGAGCTGCCAAAGCAAGGCCAGGTATAAATGTATTTATGGATAACTGAGGCCAACGTTGCTTGGTGGATAAAACAAAACATCTCTGTGGTGTTGAGACAATCAAGAACCCAAGCAAAAGAAAAAAAAAATAAAATAAGCATTTATTTTGCACCAATGGCTGCACCATTGCCTCACAAGGGCTTTTATTGCCCACCCCCACCTCCCCAGCAGTTTAACATTTGAAAGAGTATCAGAGAACCCCCAAAAAGCATCACTGGTGTTGGACTCCTTTCAGAGGAGTTTGCAGCAGCCTTTCATCCCTCCAGGCTCTATTTTGTGGCAGAAGGTGGAAGCACCTCAAAGCCCCCAGTGTCAGAGCACATTTCCTCTCTGGCTCTGGTCTCTGCAGCCTTTTCTCACCACAAACCTGGATTTGAAACCGAGCTGAGCACATCCAGCCCTTCTAAAAGGCTGGGAATGGGGTTTTGGCAGTGGCCACACCAGCCCACGGAGCACCACAAGCCATGAGCTGGCACAGCCTCCAAAATAAGAAAGAAAACCTGTGGGGATATTTCCAGAATAGCAGGCACGTCCCCTCTTTGATGACAGCCCTCACACATGAACAGAAAAAGAGATTTGGGTTTTTTTTTTCCCCCCTGGTCTGTGCATCTTGCATTTTGTATTAATGTGCCTTTGGAAACATCCAAGGGCTGCGTTTTCCTGCCCATTTAAATGAACCATAAAGAGGCACACGGGGGAAATGAAGGCCCTTTCCTGACACTTGT